ACGAGTTCAGTACATTCACAGTGGTAGTGGTTCCGGTCGCGACACGATCCAGTTCAACATTTCATCACCTCACAGCACCAAAGGACCATATACACTCTATGTGGAGATTTACGAGCACCACGTAAGACGTTTGAGCAAATTTTCGTTACGGACCCATTAGGGACACATTCCGCTTTGGGTACAGTATCGAGATGAGAGAAAAGGTGGTGACGAGACCCCTCCCCCAAACACTTTCCTCCGGTATGACCCCCCCCCCCTCCACTTCCCCTTCCGCTGGACAGCAGTTTCTAGTTTCCTAGGGGAAATCTGGAAAACTGGGGAGTTAGGTATGATGAAAAGAGGGGTCGTACTGTATGAGGAATTTGGAGAAGGGAAAAGGCGGTCCTGTATTTCCAAAGTCCCCCCCCCCGGCAGAGATGAAGTGTCCTGGCTGGAGCAGATCGTTTTGCCGACAACTCAGATATTTCCAGCTACACTAGTAAATCGAACGAATTTCTATTTCCCCATTTTGCTTGCTCATGTCACTGGCTTAGGTATCTCTAACCTCTTCATTGCTGAACGTTGTCGCCGGTGGTTCGACAGTAATCTCAAGTACTGTACTGAATGTGACGTCATCGGATAGGGAAGATTATGTGGTGAATGTGGTGGAAAAGCCGAATTACGGCTGGATTGTGCTGGACTCATGGAGCACCAACAACATCACCTCCATAGGTGAGAAATGTCTGCCGGGACTTTTTTAACATTAACAAATTATCGTCACTCAAAAATGCCAAAATTCACGATAATTGTATGGGTGTAGAAATGGGCGGAGACCCACAATCACACGCCAAAGAGGAAACACGATCATAAGGGAGGCACGGTGGGTCTGACTGTTCCTCCATACCTCCGCCTGCATTGACGCGGAATATTTTCTCAGTTTCACCTCACTATATCAATCTTTATGTCCTGTAGGCGTTGAAGATTGTGAGATGGGGGCAGTTCGGCGAATGGGGGGGGGGAGGGGAAGGAGAGGAGCATCTTGCACTTTCGCTGCTCCCATCGACGTGTCTTCCCATCCAGAGGGCCATTTCGGGGGCTCACAAGAGTTGACAGGTTTTACCATGGTGACTCGATGAGTTTTACAAGAGTTCACAGGTTTCTCCAGAGTGACTTGTAAACCGGAAGTGCTGAAACAGCAGACGTGCAAAATGCCCCCTCTCGCTCATCGCCGAAGTGCACCTATGATAGAGAATATCAAGTGCAACGATGTGGAATATTATTGATACGCGACGTGATATGGCTTGCAGTAATACATTTTGTAAATAGAACCCAATTATGAACGTACTTCAGATTCGTTCAGTTGGTGCGGACATCTTCGTGAACGTCGTGTGGTGTAATGATATCAGATCGCGATTCCCAGCGCGCTACAAGACATTCTCAGTTCGGTCCCTGCATCTCCCACCACATTGCCTTGGTACTCAAACAACAATCGTTCGACGTCACGATCTCACAGCGAAATGTGCAAAGTATGTGCACGATTTTTGCTCTTTTCGTACCGTCTTATGTACAGCGTAGTGTACTTATCCTCCCAGAATCTGGTACTAATTTACTGTCCCCGGGAGTAGAGGGAAGTTGAAGTAAAAGGGGAAAAGTCTGGGAAGGTGATAGGAGGAAGGCGAAGGGAGGGAGAGGGCATTAAGAGCAGTTTTCGAGTGAAAAAAAAGGGAGGGGGCCTTGTAATTGTTTTGAAACTGTCGCTGAACGTGCCTTGGGCTGAATGTTCAGGTTTTTCGAGATTTTTGACCATTCTCCCAGTGCCATTGTAAACTGATCATCAGGTCCCCCAACTTCTGCGGAACGAAATTCTTCGCGTGAATTGAACTCTGAAACAACTCCCTATTACAAATGCTCACCTTGACACTGAGGTACCGTATAAAATTTCGTTTACATGCAGATTTTTAATTGGCATTGTACGGCCACTGCCTTTGAAAAGTTCCGAGAAACCTTCACAGATAGGTAAGTTCTCACAGTTATCGCTCCACACGCTCTCCACATGTTTTTCATGAGTAGTTAGCGAAGCGTGTATGTCACAGGCGATGTTTGTTGGTAGATAGCGAATCTTATGTTGTCCATATCGGAAAGCGTCGCCGGTAGCTACATTTCCCGTTCCTACTCTCCTCTCTCATATTTATACTCCTCCGAGAGCCTAGGGACCAGAAGAGAGAGAGAGAAGCAGAGACGCAGGGCATGTCTTATGCTCAACGCCTCTGTCCCTCTCGACTCGGTTCTCGCAGCCACGCCCCTTCTTGTCCTCGGATATGAACTGTAAACGCTACTAGGCCGTGATATAGGCTATACAGCGTAGACTGTCAACTGTTCACCCTTATGTAGGCTGTCGCCTACCAACAAATATCGCCTGTGACATACACTGTTTACCACATACAACTAATGAAGGTTTGCTTGAGCTTATAGGAACTAGGAACTAAAGTTTGGTGCAGTTTGGCTTGGTGGGGCACAAAATGATACTTAGCGAAGCTAAATCAGGCCACCTGTCGAGACCTGTAAACCCCTGTAACCAGAGTGGTTCATGTACACCATTTCGCAGCTTCAGAGTTTCACCAAAGTGTAACCTGTTAATTAACATGAGCTAGCAAAAGGAACAAGCGGAAGAGCCCTCCCAAGCCGAAAGCGCCCAGAATTTTGCTTGTCACTGCAGAAATCTTTTGCAGGATCCAGACACACCCCCGATTGGGGTGTTCTTTTTAATATCTAAACCGTCTAATGGAATGGTGGTGAACGTCAACGATTTGTCGAAGGAAATCTATAACTTTTCACAGAAAGACATCGACGATTCGTCGATTG